AGGTGAAAGGTGTGAGCAGGTGGACTTCGACTAGTGCAAATGAAGCAGCGAGGAGAGGAAGAAGGGAGGGCGCCACTGGAGGAGGCACAGACCCCCACAGGGACCTGAGGGGGTAAGCTGAGGGGGTAAGCTGAGGGGGTTGCAAGGCTTTGGGGGGTTGTGACCTGTTTAGTTTTGAGGCGCCTCAAAGCTGAGGGGGAAACCTGAGGGGGCTGCAAGGCTTTGGGGGGTAGTGTCCTTAGGGGATTACCAGCAGAAGGGAGGGGGTCTGTGGCTTGTGACTCGGCCCCAACCAGTGGCGAGTTTTGCCAAGAGAAAGCATAGAAAGACATGGGACCAAGAACAACAACAAGGGCAGTGAGACGCACGTGAAGCTCAGTCCAGGGAGGAGAGGATGCTTAGCTGGAAGTTGAAGCACCGCTTGCAGTGCTTCTATCCCCTCCCCTCCCCTCCCTGCTCCCTGCTCCCTGCTCCCTGCTCCCTGCTACGTGCAGCCAGCAGCGGCTACAAGCCGTGACACACAGGAGGCCCTGCAGAGGGGTGAGGGGTGACTTTTGAGTCCCTGGACTCAAAAGGCCCTGCAGAGGGGTGAGGGGTGTGGCAGGGGGCCGGAGGGGTGGAGGGGGAGGGGTGGCAGCAGACAGAAAGCCGAAGGGGGGGCAGCAGACAGAAAGCGCAAGAGACTCAGGGCGGATTGGGAGTGAACAGAAGCAGAGATGGGCAGATTGAGAGGAAGAGGAGCAAGCGAGCAGGGAAGTGAACAGACAGGTGCAGTGCAGCGAGCAAGGAGGGGAGAGGGGACCAGCCACTGCTGCAGCGTTGCTCCAAGGGGCAAGAATCAGAGGGCGTGAGGGGTCTTTTAAAGGGCCATACCAGCATGTCTCTAAGGGTCAAGGCTTAACCTGGGGGGAGCTTTACCTGCCAGTGCTGGTCTGTGCCCCACGAGCTAGACTGCAGCAAGCGGCACATTTTGAAGGGAAGTGTGAAAGCGTGAACAAGGAATGGTGCAGCGTGAGGGTTGTGGGTGCAGTGAGGTCAGAGCACTTAGCTGGCTTTTTGGGGGGGGGAGGTCCCCACCTGGCTGGCGGGATACATGCCTTGGCGTCTGCAGCCGGCCCTGCCTCTCTGCCTCTGCCTTCCCCCGCTGATCCCTTGCCCCTTCTCCTTCCCCTTCCTCTGCCCCATCGCCCCACCTGGCGAGTCCTGCCAGGTGTTAGGGATGGGATGGGGGGCGCAGCAGGCAGAGAGGGAAAGAGCCAAAGGCCAGATCAGGGGGAGGGGGGAGAGGGGGGCAAAATTGCATTGAACAGCGGGATGGGGTCAGCAAAGTGGACACAAGGGGCCACCATTGCAGCTTCACCCACGGGGCACAGACCAGGGAGTGGGGAGGTGGGGGGAGGGGGGTTACAGGGGGGGGGGAATTACCAGGGGAGGGGGAGTTACCAGGGGGGGGGAATAACCGGGGGAGGGGGGGTTACCAGGGGGGGGGATAACCGGGGGAGGGGGGGTTACCATGGGGGGAGGGATAACCGGGGGAGGGGGGTTACCAGGGGGGGGGGGATAACCGGGGGAGGGGGGTTACCAGGGGGGGGGGATAACCGGGGGAGGGGGGTTACCAGGGGGGGATTACCGGGGGGGGGGGATAACCGGGGAGGGGGTTACCAGGGGGGGGGAATAACCGGGGGAGGGGGGTTACCAGGGGGGGGGATAACCGGGGGAGGGGATAACCGGGGGAGGGGGTTACCAGGGGGGGGATAACCGGGGGGGGGGATATCAGGGGGGGGGGGATACCAGGGGGGGGGGATACCAGGGGGGGGATACCAGGGGGGGGGATACCAGGGGGGGATACCAGGGGGGGGGATACCAGGGGGGGATACCAGGGGGGGGATACCAGGGGGGGGGATACCAGGGGTGGTTAACCAGGGGGGAATACCAAGCAGATGGTTTGTGCCCTGTGAGATCAATCGCAACAAGTTGCCCAAACAAAAAACACGTGCAGGCACGGCTTCAGAACGCTCATCCAATGATGTGACTGTAGGTTTCATGGGTTCCATCACTGTATTCGTGATTGAGAAGGCAGGAGTGCAGCGTGGTTCAGGCGAAAAATGCCCCGAGTGAGGATCGAACTCACGACCTTAGGATGGCTCCCGCCTCATGTTTGAGGAGTCGAATTGCTATGAGACCTACGCGCTACCGACTGCGCCATCGAGGCATGTCAACATGCGGTGACGTAGCATAAATGACACAATGAGTAGGTAAGAGTAATAAGCTGACAGGTTGCATGGACGGATACCCACATGCTGCTTGCCTGCTGCTCCCTTGCCTCTAGCGCTGCCCTGACCCCTGCGGGAAGTGAGGAGCTCCCATCCCATCATTCATGCAGGGAGAAAACGAAACACAAAAGGCCGATCACGGTGGGACTCGAACCCACAATCTCCCGCTCCGGAGGCGAGCGCCTTATCCATTAGGCCACGCGACCTGTGAAAAGTGTCTGGTATTTTAACATTTGTAGCAAAATCTAGGAGATGGTGCAGAGTGAGGGACGGAGGAAGAGGCGGGAGGGGCGGGGGTATGGGGAGGAAACCCCATGGCACACAGGCATGAGCTATGCAGCAGCAAGCAGGACAGCATGGGGGGGAAGGGGGGGGGGGGGGTGGGGTGGAGAGGGGATGCGTGCATGCATGCATGCGGACAGGACCCTAGAGTAGCCTAACCCATGACCCGGACTGGACTGGACTGGACCCTATGCGCGCTGCTCACGCCGTGTGCCATGGGTTGAGTTGAGAGGGGGGTGGCGGGCGAGGGGTGGTGGAGGGTAGGCAGATGGAAAGGGAGTGGGTGGGAGGAAGTGAGGAGCGGGAGAATGAGGGCGGGTGGGCGTGCATGAAGGGAAGGAGTGAACTTACTGTTGTGTGGCGTGGCACTGCTGTTGCTGCCGTTGCTCCTGATTCTGCTGCTGCTTCTGGCCGCCGCTGCTACCATCTCTGCTGCAGATGCCACCCCAGCTGATGGTGCAGACACCGCAGTGCCACTCACTGCTTAGGCGCTGGTGGGTTGGGAAGCTGCTGGATGGGTTGCGAACGAGGAAAGGGGGGGGGGGGGGGGACATGAGGTGAGAGAATAAGAGGCCCAAAAGGGATGATTGCAGAAGAGACTGGAGCTGGAAGGGCAGAGAATGATGGCATGCAAGAACGTCAATAAGCAGGAATTCACGGCAATGAAGTGGCGTGATGTGCGGCATGTGGACAGAGGGGGGGGATGGGGAGGAGAGGAGGGGAGGAGGCAGGAGGGGCTGGGGAGGGGGTCGGGGGGAGTGGGGGTGGGTGGAGGAATCCCATGGCACACGAGCGAGAGCCTTGCAGCAGCAAGCGGGAGCGGGGGGGACAACAGCAGCACAGCAGGCAGACAGGACCCTAGAGTAGCCTACTCCTAGAGTGGCGTAACCCGCGACCTGGACTGGACTGGACGCACGCTGCTCTGTGCTGTGTGCCATGGGGGTGAGGGCGAGGAGGCGAGGCGGCAGGGAGAGAGGCGGATGGGGGAGGGAGGAATGGGGAGGGATGGAGAGTAGCGAGGATGAAGGTGACGTGAGAATTGGGGGAACGGAAGCGGCAGGCACAGCATGGGGCCATATGCTTAGCTGAGGTTGAAGGGATTGAGGGAGACGCCAGTGCTGCAGGACGCCAGTGAGACGCCAGCAGCACATGCGGAAGATCGCGGCTTCCACAAGGGCACACGGAGGTCGTCGCGAAAGTCGTCGCTAACGTCCTCGTGAACGACGTTTCGCGCGACTGTCGTCGCGAACGTCGTCGCGGATGCCGTCGTGAATGTCGTCAGGGATGTCATCGCGAATGTCGTCGGGAATGTCATCGCGAACGTCGTCGGGAATGTCATAGCGACTGGCGTCGCGAACGTCGTGGCGGATGCCGTCGTGAATGTCATCGGGAATGTCATCGCGAGCGTCGTCGGGAATGTCATCGCGAACGTCGTCGGGATTGTCATCGCGCATGCCGTCGCGGAGGTCGTCGTGAAAGTCGTCGCGAACGCCGTCGCGAACTTCAAGGAGGACAATACGGTGGATGTTGCGAAGAAAGACGTGCCTGCAAGAATTCAAATTAGCGAAGTGAGAATCGACGGCATGGCTGGCTGAACGACCAGGCGACCACTGGGCGAGCCAAGCGACAAACTCCGAAGGGTTCCGTCGCCCAGACCTCCGGCCGCCGCTTGATAGTTGACGGCGATTAGGCGGGGAAGGGTGCCAAGGTTAGGTTTTTGGTGCCAAACGAACCTGAACAGAGGACACTCAGGTTTTCGGCTGGTTTCAGAGGTTTGTGAGAGGTGTCGAGATTGGTTAGTTGCTTGATGTCACAAATGTCGCAAAGGAACCTTCGCACAGATGTCGTATGAGGCTGCAATACGACTTGACCAGCACGGCGACCAATTTCAGCCGCTCGCTTTGCGTCGCAATGGCGATTGGATAATGAAGTTCTCTGCGCCAGAATCCGTCATCCAGCAACGGTCGAGAACACTTCCTGTCACGTAAATTAATTCATACTTTTGGAAGTAAATATTTCTATACATTTCTAACATGATGCTTTGGGATGGTCGGACGATGTGTCGAACAAATATGTACTTTGCTGCTCAGGCAGACATGAAAATTTTATAAAAAAACTACACAATAACACGTGTTCATATACCAAGATGTGTTCATACTTTGTTGGTTTGTGCTGTGCTAATGTTCTGACGTAGTTTCACTATGGTGAAAGCGCTGGTTATATCAGATAGTTTCAGTTACAACAGTACGATTCATTGGCGAAAAACTGGGCATGACAATCACAAACAACTTGTCACATAAAAGAACTCACATTTTCATAAACTTGTATAAACATCAGCAGAAGGTCGTATTCGCAGGGAGAGCTGCATATAAAGTGGATTTGCACCACCCAAGTGCGAGCAGGGAGAGCAGAGGCATCCTAGGGTTTTGAGCCTTTCCCTGTCAGTCAACCCCACAAGCAAGGGACAGCCCTGTTCAGGCGTTCCCAATTTAGGTATCTCTGGGGAGGTAGTCGGGTGGGGTGATCAACGCGAGATAACGTAATGGCGTCCAGAATCCTGTCCCGAATGTCATTAGTCGCGCCAACGCTCCACCCGCTAGCCCCCCGCGTCTTCCGCCGCTCCCTTCGTGCGCTCGCCCCGAGCGCTCTCCGCGGCCGCCAGCTCACGCTGCCGCCAAGCTACGCGCGCGGAGGCTCTTCCCGCCTCGCGCATTTCGTTTCTCCACGCGCGGACCTCTCCGCGACATCCGTATCGGCGGAAGCAGCGCCAGCAGGAGCTTCCGCGGATGCGACCAGCGCGGAAGCAGGAGTGTCGGGTGCGGAAGAATCGCAGAGCAGCGGCGCTGGGGAAGGGGGGAAGACGCCCAGAGCCGGGACCCTGACGTTCCAGGACGCAATTCAGCGACTCCAGGTGTAACCGGGTTACCAATGGGGTGCCGAATAGCGTCAGAGTAGCCGCGTCCTGTGTGTAGCGAGCACATTGCACTCATCTCGCACCTTCATGCCACAACGCCTGATCACATTGTAGCGACTTCGGGTTACCGCATGTGCGGGGAATCTGTGTTAGGCAGTAATACCGCTCGGTGTTGCTCCAGACTTACGTCCCAGTGGCCTCATGCCGCCCCGTGCGTTCCGTCGCCTCCCCCACGCCGTCCTACCTGCCTTCACCCACAGGAGTACTGGGGGGGAGTAGGATGCGCGGTGCTGCAGCCCAGCAGCACGGAGGTGGGTGCGGCCGCCATGAATCCCGCCACGCCACCTTCCTGATGTGTCTGACATCCCCTTCATTCCCCTCATCCCCCCCCCTCCCCCTCACAGGACTACTGGGCCGGGGTGGGGTGCGCGGTGCTGCAGCCCAGCAGCACGGAGGTGGGCGCGACCGCCATGAATCCCGCCACGCCACCTTCCTGATGTGTCTGACATCCCCTTCATTCCCCTCATCCCCCCCCCTCCCCCTCACAGGACTACTGGGCCGGGGTGGGTGCGCGGTGCTGCAGCCCAGCAGCACGGAGGTGGGCGCGGGCACTATGAACCCCGCCGCCTTCCTGCGCGTGCCTTGAGGAATTGACAGACATCCCCTTCCGTTCCATCATTCCCTTGCATTCCCCTGCCACCAACAGGAGTACTGGGCGGGCGTGGGGTGTGCGGTGCTGCAGCCCAGCAGCACGGAGGTGGGCGCGGGCACCATGAACCCCGCCACCTTTCTGCGCGTGCTGGGCCCCGAGCCGTGGCGCGTGGCGTACGTGGAGCCCAGCATGCGCCCCGACGACAGCCGCTTCGGGGAGAACCCCAACCGCGTGCAGCGCCACACGCAGTTCCAGGTGGGTGGGTGGGTGGGGAAGGGGAGGGAGACTAGGAAGAAAGACTAGGGGGTAGTCCGTTGCGGGCGGCGTAAATGGAACCCAGCATGCGGCCTGGTTATAGTCGCTTCGGTGCACCAGTGCGCCGTGTCCAGGGCCACACGCAGTTCCAGGTGGGCGGATTCAGTTTCTATTTCCGGGCATGCTCTGGGCGTTCTTGCCTTCTCGGGCGTTGAGAGCCAGGAGAGCAGCGCATTCTTCTCCAGGGCCACTCAATTCCCGGCCTCATGCCTTTCCCCACGTGTTGCCTGATGCCGCTCCACTCATGCCTTTCCCCACGTGTTGCCTGATGCCGCTCCACTCATGCCTTTCCCCACGTGTTGCCTGATGCCGCTCCACTCATGCCTTTCCCCACGTGTTGCCTGATGCCGCTCCACTCATGCCTTTCCCCACGTGTTGCCTGATGCCGCTCCACTCATGCCTTTCCCCACGTGTTGCCTGATGCCGCTCCACTCATGCCTTTCCCCACGTGTTGCCTGATGCCGCTCCACTCATGCCTTTCCCCCGCCCTGCATCCCCCCCAGGTCATCCTGAAGCCCGACCCCGGTAAAGCCCAGGACCTGTACCTGGGCAGCCTGGCCGTGCTGGGCATCGACAGCCGGCAGCACGGCGTGCGGTTTGCGGAAGAAACTGGGAGTCGGCCGTGGTGGGGCCAACAGGCCCTACCTCGAGTCCATCATCCCCTGCCCCACTCAGACCCCCCCACTCGCCCCCCCCACCAGGTCATCCTGAAGCCCGACCCCGGCAATGCCCAGGACCTGTACCTGGGCAGTCTGGCGGCGCTGGGCATCGACAGCCGGCAGCACGACGTGCGGTTTGTGGAGGACAACTGGGAGTCGCCTGTGCTGGGCGCGTGGGGGCTGGGGTGGGAGGTGTGGCTGGACGGCATGGAGATCACCCAGTTCACCTACTTCCAGCAGGTGATGCATGGGCGCATAGCTTGCTGTGGTTGAACAATGTGTAGCTTGGTAGGTCACATGCCATGCGGGCTGAGGTGTGGCTGGGCGGCATGGGGATCACCCAGTGCACCTACTACTTCCAGCAGGTCATGCAGGGCTCTGTCTGTCCTGGCCTGGCCTGGTTGCATATTCACGCCTCGGATTGGTTGACTTGACTGTTCACATACCTTAGGGGCTGGGGTGGGGTGGGAGGGGTGGGTGGACTGGACGGCATGGAGATCACCCCCTTCACCTACTTCCAGCAGATCATGCATGGGGCGGTGGCTATGTGTAGATAGGAAGGTACCTTGCTGGGTCGCATGCCATGCATGTGGGCTGGGATGGGATGCGAGGTGTGGCGTGGGGGCTTGGGTGGGGGAGGTATGGCTGGGCCCCATGGAGGTCACCCAGTTCACCTACGTGCAATCCAGCAGGTGATGGAATGGCTATTGTGTCCCAACAGGTGATGGAATGGCTGTTGTGTCCAGCAGGTGATGGAATGGCTGTTGTGTCCAGCAGGTGATGGAATGGCTGTTGTGTCCAGCAGGTGATGGAATGGCTATTGTGTCCCAACAGGTGATGGAATGGCTGTTGTGTCCAGCAGGTGATGGAATGGCTGTTGTGTCCAGCAGGTGATGGAATGGCTGTTGTGTCCAGCAGGTGATGGAATGGCTGTTGTGTCCAACAGGTACGGAAGGTTGCGAGGTGGCATGCCATGCAGGCGGGGATGGAGTGGAAGGTGGAGTGGGATAAAGGAGACAAGGCGGTTGTGGTGCAAGCATGCACGCTTCTCTTTGGTCTGTTGTGGTGCAAGCATGCACGCTTCTCTTTGGTCTGTTGTGGTGCAAGCAATGCGGCTCTGTGCTCCGTTCAGCGAGCCTGCTCTGCTGCAATCTCTCCTGTCGCTGTGTGTGATTTGCTCTGTGCCTGCTGCATGCCGCTGTGACATGCGTGTGTGTATGCATGTGAGGATGAACGTGCATGCATGAATGTACGCATGTGTGCATGTTTGAATGTACGCATGTGTGCATGTTTGAATGTACGCATGTGTGCATGTTTGAATGTACGCATGTGTGCATGTTTGAATGTACGCATGTGTGCATGTTTTGAATGTACGCATGTGTGCATGTTTGAATGTACGCATGTGTGCATGTTTGAATGTACGCATGTGTGCATGTTTGAATGTACGCATGTGTGCATGTTTGAATGTACGCATGTGTGCATGTTTGAATGTACGCTTGTGTGCATGTTTGAATGTACGCATGTGTGCATGTTTGAATGTACGCATGTGTGCATGTTTGAATGTACGCATGTGTGCATGCATGCCTTTATGTCCATGCATGTGCACAGGCAGGGGGCATGCCACTATCGCCCGTGTCGGTGGAGATCACATACGGGCTCGAGCGCATCATCATGAGCCTGCAGGTACGTGCTCCTCTGCCTGCTCGCTACTTCATAATTTCTGGAGAGATACCTCTAGAGCGCGAGGGAGATAAGCGTCTTCAACATGGATGCTGAGAGGTATTGGAACTCATTTCCTCTACCTCTCCCTCTATCAGGGCGTGGACCACTTTAAGCGCATAGCATATGCACCGGGAGTGACATACGGCGAGCTATTTCTGGAGAACGAGCGCGAGATGAGCGCGTTCAACATGGACGAGGCGGACACGCAGCGCGTCAAGCAGCGCTTCGACCTCTACGACGCCGAGGCGCAGGGGCTCATCGACAAGAACCTCGCCATCCCCGCGTGAGTATTCGCGTGAGTATGGGGATGGAAGGTGATGCTTGCTCTCCCCATTCCTACACCACCTCTAGGACTCCCAGGCGCAGGGTTCATTGACAATTGGCTCGCCATCCCTGTGTGCGTTGGGGCGGTTGGGGGCACAAGGCGGTCGTGAATCCGTCTAGGAGTCACGTCCATGGCATAGAGGCACGGGATGCGTTTTGAACAGCTAGAGAAGTCTCCTCTAGGATGCTCAGGCGCCGGGGCTGGCTCGTTGAAAAGCCCTCTCTTCCCCCCTGCCATGCCGTCCCGCACGTTGCACGGTGCAGGTTCGACCACGTGCTCAAGACGTCCCACGCGTTCAACATCCTGGACGCCAGAGGCGCCGTGGGAGTCACTGAGAGGGCGCGCTTCTTCGGCAGAATGAGGAGGTGGGTGCTGTGGGCGGGTGCAGTATGGGGTGCTTGCTTGGGTAGCATGGGTGGCATAATTTGTCCTGTACGATTGAGTCGGATTCACCTTGGCACTACTAGGATGAGGCTCTACTCCCCCCTTGCCCCTCCAACCCCCCTCTCCATCCAGCCTGGCGCGTCAGTGCGCCCAATTGTGGGTCGACACGCGGGAGAAGCTCGGCTTCCCATTGGGCCGGGCGGATGCTGATGTGGCGCAGCCAACAGGCGACTCGTGGCCGTCTGCTGACGTGGCATCAGGGAATGGAGCGGGGAGTGCAGGGGGAGAGGAGGGCACGGGGCGGATGCTGGTGCTGGAGATTGGCACGGAGGAGCTGCCGCCTGATGATGTCAGCACCGCTGTTGCTCAGGTGGGTGTGTGTGCGTGTGGGGGAGAGAGAGGGGAGGAGGGGGAGGGGGGCGGGAGGTGTGGGAGGGATAGGAGGGGCGGGGTGATGTGCATGTGTGTGCGCACACACGTGCGTGCTGCTGACTCACTTCCTCACCTGGTTGTGCTCAGACCAGACTACTTCACCTGTGGTGGACTAGCTTATTTCTGGACCGAGTTATTCCCTCGTCCTGCTATGCAACCCCATGATCTCTCCACAACAACCCCCACACGCACACACACCCAGCTTTAAGCAACTAACCCCCCTGCTCCTCGTGGGCCTTCGTGTGGCCTATGAGAACGTGCGAGTGGACGGCACGCCCAGGAGGGTCACGCAGTGCAGCTGGCAGGACGATTTTTCAAACTTCCCATTCTGCTCACCGGCTCTCGCCCCACACAACCCCCTGGCAGCTGCAAGCAGCCATCCCCGCGCTGCTCGCCCGGCTGCGCCTGCCCCACGAGTCAGTGCGTGTGGACGGCACGCCCAGGCGGGTCACGGTGCAGGTGGCGGGGCTGGCAGCGGGGCAGCAGGAGGAGCAGCGCGAGGTGCGGGGGCCGCCGGCCAACAAGGCGTTTGATAAGGACGGGCGACCCACCAAGGTACGGGGACTGATGGATTCACAGGCAGTATGATTTCCAGGGTTGAGGTTGAGGGTGCCGCTCAGCCTGATGCTTTTGTCATGGTGCGCGTCGTTGCATGCCCGTGCATGCCCTTGGTTTGATCAGTGTTCCTCCCACCGCTCTCCTCCCCCTCCAGGCTCTAGATGGCTTCTGTCGGCGTAACGCGGTAACAACGGATGCAGTAACCACGCGCCCAGACGAGAAGGGCGTGGAGTACGTGTGGGCGAGTGTGAGGGAGGAGGGGCGGCCCGCGTGGGCGGTGCTGGGGGAGCAGCTGCCTGCTGTGATCGCGGGGATCGCCTTCCCCAAGACCATGCGGTGGAACTCGCAGGTGGGTGGTTCAAAATTCAAGTGGTGAGCATGCTAGTGCCAGTGGGGGGGGTTGGGCCAGGGGGGCGGTGCTGGGGGAGCAGCAGCCAGCCAGCTGTCATTGCTGTCGTCACCTTGCCGACAACCATGCAGTGGATGGGACTCGCAGGTGGGTGAACACGTGAGCCCAGTCAAACGCTGGCTGGAGTTTTCTGTTGTAGATCTCAGAAGTTGCATGCGAACGCCAGCAGTGACTGCCGGGAAGGAGCACCTTCCTGAAGCCTGTGAACTGGAATGCCCAACACTCATGGACCCCTTCCCAACCGAAACCCCTCTTCACGTGGACTGCAGCTGTGCCATGCCATCCCCAGGCTGCCACCGCTGCACACTGACCATCTGGTGCCCTTCCCCTTGATTCCACCCAAACACCCCCCCCCCCCACCCCCTTCCCCCACCCCCCCAACCCCCAACCCCACTCCCCAACCCACTTCCCTCCCCCTCCCCTCTCTCTCTAACGCTGTAACCTGGGATCAGGTGGCCTACAGCCGCCCCATCCGGTGGCTGCTAGCGATGCACAGCGCCACGGTGGGGCCCTTCGCCTTGAGTCGACCCGATTCACCCCTCTCCCTCTTCTCCTCCAACCCCCCACCCCGCTCCCCCCCTTTTCCGCCCCACCCCTGTAACCCCCCACCCCTCCAACCCCCCACCCCGCTCTCAACCCTGTAACCTGGGATCCGGTGGCCTACAGCCGTCCCATCCGGTGGCTGCTGGTGATGCAGGGCGGCACGGTGGGGCCCCCACCCCCCCCCCCCCCTTCCCTCGCCCCCACCCCGCACCCCCACCCCCCCCCTTCCCACCCCTGTGTGGTGGGATCAGGTGGCGTACAGCCGCCCCATTCGGTGGCTGCTGGCGATGCACGGCGCCACGGTGGTGCCCTTCGCCTTCGCAGGGCTGGCGTCGGGCAGCGAGTCGTGGTTGCTGAGGAATGCGCCAGAGACCAGGGTGCAGGTGAGAGGGGCATTTGAGGTATGAGGGATGCCGTCAGCCAGGGCGTTCAGTCCTGGCTGGCATCGAGGAGCAGCTTGAGGTGCCACGAGTGCTTTAATTGCTGTCAGTGCTGCCAGGTACTTTGGATGGCTCTGCAGGGCAGGCGCCGGGCAGCGAGTTGAGGGTGGTCAGGAATGCAGACTGGGGGAGGAGGGTGGAGTGGAGGCGAGGGAGAGGTGGAGGCGAGTGAGAGGTGGAAGCGAGTGAGAGGTGGAGGCGAGTGAGAGGTGGAGGCGAGTGAGAGGTTGAGCCCACTCGGTTGTCAGCGCCGTGATCGACTAGAGTTTGAATACTCCAACCGTAACACCGCCATTGTAATCAGCGCCTCGTCCGGGTGACTGGACGAAGGTTGTTGGATGGATGGTGGTTGGACGGAGGTTGTTGGACGGAGGTTGTTGGACGGAGGTTGTTGGGCGGAGGTTGTTGGACGGAGGTTGTTGGACGGAGGTTGTTGGACGGAGGTTGTTGGACGGAGGTTGGCATGCTAGCCCCCTTCGGGTGCCGCTAACCTCCTCAGGGTGCCGCTAACCCCCTTAGGGTGCTGCTAACCTGCTTAAGGTGCCGCTAACCCCCCTTAGGGTGCATCCAACCCCCTTAGAAAGCAGCCAACCCCCCCTAGTAGTACCTTTGAGGCGCCTCAAAAGTCAGAAAGCAGCCAACCCCCCCTAGTAGTACCCCCATTGCTGCCGCACCTCTCCCACCCCCACTCCCCCCCCCCACACCCATTTCCCCCCATCCCTTTCCCCCCATCCCTTTCCCCCCATCCCTTTCCCCCCATCCCTTTCCCCCCATCCCTTTCCGCCCATCCTTACCCTCTCCCACCCCCCAGTCCTATCCAGCCATTGTTGATCACTGCCATGGATGACTCCCCCCATGTATCTCCCCCCACCAGCTGCCATGTGCGGAGGACTATGCGTCAGCCATCAGCGGTGCCGGCATCACTCTCTCCATCGAGGTTCGCACCAATCCTCTTCTGCCACATGTCACTCTGCAACCACTGCCACCACGCAGCACCGACTGCTGAGTGACTGCCACTTGGTTCCGCTCTCCCGTCACGTCTCGCCCATTCCGTACCCCCAACTGCGGGCCATCTAGATGTCCTATCTAGGACCTTTTGAGTCAACTCAAAAGTCACCTGCGGGCCATGTAGATGTCCTATCTCGGACGTCTCATCCTTCCCACCTTCGCTGCGCCTCTCTTTCCCCAATGCTGCCGGCCGGCCGCTTAGCTGCTGCTCATTCTTCTTGCCACATCTTGCCACGCCATGCCATGCCGCCCTGCCAGGAGCGCAAGGAGGCGATCTGGGTGGCAAGCAGTGAGTTGGCAGCATCGGTGGGCGGCAGGATTCCCGATGATGCCCGAGGGGCGCTCCTTGCTGAGGTGGCAAATCTAGTGGAGTCGCCCGTCCCCCTTCTGGGAAGCTTTGACCCCAGCTTCCTTGACTTGCCACCCGAGGTGCTCGTGATGGTGATGAAGAAGCATCAGAGATACTTCCCTGTGGAGGACGCAGCTTCTGGGAAGCTGCTTCCGCACTTTGTGGCGGTGCCGAATGGGCGGCTGGACGAGGCGGCCGTGCGAGCGGGCAATGAGTCGGTGCTGAGGTGAGTGGGGAAGGGGAGGGAGAGAGGCCGGTTTGAGGGGGATCAAGTGGTGCTGTGAGGCAGCGAGCCACGCAATGGCTGCTGTCGCTTGCCGTTGTCACTTGGTACTGTCACCCGTCTTTGCTCACCCGCTTCTCCTCAAATGGTCCTTGTATTGGATGGTCAAGGTGCAGGGCATGGTAACCAAGTCACATATACAAAGCGTGTCCTAGCAGCCCGGGCTCTACGGCATGCAGTAAGTCCCCCACGGGGAGGGGGTCCTCGGGGTCGTCCAGAGGCCACTCCTCCCCCGCAAGGGCGCAGTTGAACTTGGTGTTAAGCTCCCTGCTTTCCCCTCTCTTGGTCTCTCTCTTGGCCCCCTCCTCACAGGGCGCGCTACGAGGACGTGCGTTTCTTAGACGACAGCCACACGGCACACTCTTCCCCCCCCCCCCGTTCCACACTCTAATGTCTGTCATCCCCTTCACCACCCCCCCTGCCAGGGCGCGCTACGAGGATGCGCGCTTCTTCTACGACAGCGACACAGCGCATCCTCTGGAGTCCTTCCGGGAGAAGCTCAGAGGCATCACCTTCCAGGTACCTTCCTGTCCACTGCTCCTGCACTGTTACACACTGTTGGCACGTCCCATCCTTCCAAGTCGTTCCCTTGCCTCACCCATTGTCTCTCTTTTCTTCTTTGCTCCCAGAACTTTCTAAGCGCCACAGACCATACATTGTCTCACTAGATAGCTCGTAACCGAAGCACTCGATCCCCCCTATCCCCGGCCCGCTGAACAGGCGAAGCTGGGGTCCATGCTGGACAAGAGCGAGCGCGTGGAGGCCATCACGCCACTCCTCTGCACCGCACTGCACCTCTCTCCCTCGCTCTCGGCCGCAGCGCAGCAAGCAGCGCGGCTGTGCATGGCGGACCTTGGGACGGCCGTGGTGATGGAGTTCACAGGGCTGGCGGGGATCATGGGGCGGCACTATGCGGAGAGGGAAGGGCTGGGAGAGCAGGTGAGAGGGATAAGGGGGTGAGAGGGATAAGGGGGTGAGAGGGATAAGGGGGTGAGAGGGATAAGGGGGTGAGAGGGATAAGGGGGTGAGAGGGATAAGGGGGTGAGAGGGATAAGGGGGTGAGAGGGATAAGGGGGTGAGAGGGATAAGGGGGTGAGAGGGATAAGGGGGTGAGAGGGATAGCAGGCGGCGTGGCTGTGCATGGCGGGCCTTGGGACGGTCTCGGCTGTAGTGATGATGCTCACTGGGATGGCGGGGATCGTGGGGCGGCAGTACGCCGAGGGAGAGGGCCTCTGAGGAGGTGAGTGGGTGATGCTTATTCCAAGGGTCAGCTTCAGCAGTGCCTGGCGGACCTTGGGACGGCCGTAGGGATGGAGATCAAGGGGCTGGCGGGGGTGATGCGGTGGCAATACGCAGAGAGAGAGGGCCTTTCTGACGAGGTGAGTGGGTGGTCCCACCCGACTCTGAGTTCGTGCTGCTGCGCACAGGGCAGGGGATAAGTGCGCCACCCCCTGTCCCTTCCCTCTCTCTTCTCCACCCCTCGCCGGCACCCCACCAGGTGAGCATGGCCGTGTTCGAGTCGGTGCTGCCGCGATCAGCAGGGGACCAGCTGCCGTCCACAGCCCCTGGCCTCGTGCTCTCCCTCGCCACCAGGTGCGTGCTCTGTTGCCACCAGGTGGGCTCTCTGTTGCCACCAGGTGGGTGCTCTATCTATCTTATGTGTTGCCTCTCTCTGTTGTCTCCAGGTTGGTGCTGTGCAACCACCAGGCGGACCCTCTGTTGCTTTCAGGTGCCCTCTCTCTTTTGCCCCCCTGTAACCCCCCTCTCAACCCCCTCTCAACCCCCTCTCAACCCCCTCTCAACCCCCTCAACCCTCTCAACCCCCTTTCAACCCCCTCTCAACCCCCTCTCATCCCTTTGTACTCCCTACTCCCCCCCCCCATCCCCTCCCCAACAGGCTGGACAGTCTCGTGGGGCTGTTTGCCATCGGCTGTGAGCCCTCCGCCTCTGCGGACCCCTTCGGTCTGCGCCGCTCCGCCTACGGCCTGGTGAGCTGCCACCGCCACACCTGCTTATTGCCACACATGCTCATGCCCTCACATCTCCTATCCCATCCCACCGCCACGTATTGCATGAATGGTGGCGGGTGGAGGCCCTGGTGCCATGCAGCACGGACCTGCATCTCTCCACCCAAGCGCTTTCTCACCGCCTTTCACCTCCTCTCATCTCCCCTCATCGCATGCACGTTGTGTGCATTGCCTGGCAGGTGGAGGCCCTGGTGGCCAGCAACACAGACCTGCACCTCTCCACGGCGCTGCAGGCAGCAGCATCTGTGCAGCCCGTGGAAGTCACCCCCGCCACGCTGCAGCAGGTGCTCCCCCTCCCGCCCCTCCCCCCATTCTGGTCGTACTCCCCTCTTAAACCCTAAGCTTTAAAGCCCTGCAGGCAGCTGTATCCATGCAGCCACTGGACATCACCCATGCCACACTGCAACAGGTGCCCCCTCCTTCCCCCATTTTGCTCATCTCGTCCCTCCTTGCTTGCATTTTCCCCACCTCGTTTCTCACTCCCCACTCTCTCTCACACCGTCCACCCTCCATCTGCACCCTTCCTGGCCCCGTCCCTTCGGACATCCCACCTGACCCCCCCCTGTGTTCCCTTCCCCCTCTCCCCTGCTGTGCAGGCCTTCGTGGTGCGGCGTCTGGAGCAGTACCTCGAGCATTGCAGGGCGGGGAAGGAACTCATGGTCCGGCGTTCAATCTGCTCTCTCCCCTCAAGCTCTCCCGTGTGCCGTCCAACAGGTGCAGGCCTTTGTGGTGCGGCGACTGGAGCAGTATCTGGTGGACCGGGGGGCGCCGGTGGAGCTGGTGCGCAGCGTGCTGGAGGAGAGGGGCGCCGTGCCCGCCCTCGCTGCCAGATCCGCCGCTGAGGTGAGTGGCTGCCCTCCCTTGCCCTCCTGAACATACACATGGTTCTTATAGTAGGTATAAGATGTCTTTTTCCCATAGCACAATGCAACGACGTGCCATAGATGCTGGATCACTCCTGTTTCCCTGCATGCGCCTCACTGCGCGTGTGTCCTCACACCGTGTCACCCTCTGCCTGCCTGCCGCCTGCCTGGCAGATGGAGGAGCTGCAGGCGGGCGGGCAGCTGGAGAAGGTGGTGGCGGCGTATGCGCGGCCGACAAGGATCGTGCGCGGGAAGGACGTGGACCTGGAGTGGCAGGTGAGCGCCCTCTTTATGACAGCCTGGCACTGGCCACCTGGCATGCCTTGATAACGCCCTGGAGTTGTTGGAGGGTATTGGCGTGCAGCTTGATGCAGGGTTCTTGTGTGTGCGTGGTGGCATGAGCAGGTGGCAGAGGAGCTGTTTGAGTCGGACGCGGAGAGAACTCTGTGGGATGCATTCAAGCAAGTTGATGCGCAGGTCTCAAGCGGTGCGTCCTGACACTCCTTGCGCCCAGTCGCCGTCCTCTTTTCTGCACTTAGCCCTCTGTCGCCCTATGCACACCAGTCATCTACTGGTTTCCTAACCTGAGCATGTCCCTGATGTCACACATGCGGTGGTTGCATCTGTGATTAACTGCGTGCCCTCCCTCCCCGCATGGCATCTGATGTGGCATGCAGACATGAGCATCAAGGCCTTCGCCGATGCATCCATGGCTCTCATCGACCCTCTGGAAGGCTTCTTCACGAATGTCTTCGTTATGGCAGTAAGTTGACAAGCGTTGTGACCATGCATTTTTCCAACGGCCCCTACAGCCGACTGCCTGATCCGCTCCACGCCCACTATTCGTGGATTGCTGAGTCCCCTCCCGACTCCTGACTGCGTGTGTGTGGTGTGAGTGTGTGTGTGGTGTGTATGTGCAGGAGGAGGAGCAGCTGCGCAAGAACCGCCTGGGGCTGGTGAGCAGGATCGCTAGACTGCCGGAGGGCATTGCTGACCTCACTGTGCTGCCGGGATTCTAGGGTCTAGGGTCTAGGTGTGCGGGTTCGCAGGCTCAGGGCGTGTCACTAAAGTACGTCCGATTACGGTTCGCAAATATATTTTGCGTTCTGGAACGTTCAATAAAAAATCTAGAACGGTTCAGTATGGTATTTTGCCAAAACGATTTTTAGTGACACGCCCTCAATGTGCTAAGCGGCTCACATGTCAAGCGCCTCGGAGATGGGGGTCCTGCCCTGGAGGTCGGATAGTACTCTGAGGCTTACTGAACAACATTGGCAGAGTTCTTTAAAGGTACCAAAGCAGTGTCTGCTTCTCCATAAGGCTTCTCCACAACATTCCTGTCAGCTGACAAGCTCAGTAATGCGTATTGTTGGAAATATCTCAAGGACTTAAGCGTTTCTGAAGTGTAACACTGTACTCGAGGAAGATTACAGGGGAGCACGCGAGTCAACGGAGGTTACACGAGGGGGCGGACAAAGAATGCGAAAGGACTCGAAAGGTCGCAACTGGAGGTTGCGACTGACCGTTACAACATCACGGATGGAAACCGAAGCGGCAATCGAGTCGCTGTGCGACTCGATAAACCGTTCTTGTAACTGTATTCTACAACTGCTTCCTTATCTTCTATATATTGCTGTATGCTTGTTTCTTTAATCAATCACTTGTTCTCACATACTAGTACAAGGGTTCAACTGCCTCAACTTCCGCTGCACTACTCCAAGTCTCAAGTCTCTACAGCTGGGACTTAGTCTCTGCAAAAGATCCTAAGGGCTTTTTTTTCAGCCCAACATGGTATGAGAGCTGGTCAGAGATCAAAACTCCCAGCAACTACACTCCATCAACAACCAGCAACTCAACTTGATTCAACAACTCCATTGATTACAAGACATGGACAACAAGGGCAAGAAAGTCTCTACGGGCTCACCCAGCGCCCAAGAAACTCAACACGGCAACTCTGGTCTGCACACCTCAGGACTGCAGACAAAGACCGGGACTACTCAAGAAACAACGGGAAGAGTACCAGAGATGGTGACTCCGTCTCCCTCTTCAAGTGTGGACCCGAATCTCATGGAGAGATTCTTCAGCTTCATGTCACACTTCGACCAGCAGCAGCAGACAAGGACACCTGCGCACTCAACACAGAGCAATGGAGGGAATATGGGATTAGCGCCGATGAGCCTCGACAACTCATCCTTCGGGCGACACAACCAAGCGCCTACCTTTGCGCCTTATCATTCTTCGCCGGGGACGTTCGAATTCATGCCGCCCCGTGCCCAGCCAACAGCAGCTGCTTCACAACAAACACCGAATGAAATCTTAAGTTTACAGGCGCAGTTCTCACACGTGATCAAACTTCAGACATCCTCACCGTTCAACGGACACGACTTCTTTACCTGGAGCTTCGAGTTTGAGCTGCTGATGGAGGCCGCGCATCTTCTGGGATACTTCAACGGGTCCCTGCCATTCCCAAGCAACGGCACTGGGAAGGAACAAGAGATCTTCACGTATCAGTCGCTGCTGGCGTACACGGTACTCCTGAGAAACCTGTCACCACAAGAGCAGCAGAGCATCAGAACGTATCGGAGTTATGGAAACTCCGCGGAGCTCGCATGGCACCACCTCAAATGCCTTTACCAAGCAAACGACAGCGTGACACAAAGCAGACTCATGCAACAGCTGACAACAATACAGATGAAGACCGGGGAAAAGGCGATGCAGTATATGAGTCGCTGCCAGACCCTCCGCGACCGCCTGCTTCGGTGCGGAGGAACGATCACTGAAGAAAGCTTCGTGACACTTGTCCTCGCCGGGCTCGGGCCAGAATGGAGAACCACACGATCACTTCTTCGAGCCCACGGAAGAATTTCGGAGATGCACCTCTGCGCCGAGCTTCACGCTGAACAACAGGAGATGGATCTGTTCGAGGAAAGACAACCAAGGAAGCAACAGCAGTTAGTCTTCTACACTCAAAGAAGAAATGACAACAACTACAACCGACGCAGCAAGCAAGATCAACGCGACAACCGAGGACTCACCATCGTGCCGCCGTTCTGCCACAACTGTCAGACTTCCGGACACTCCAAGGTCAACTGCAACCGCCCTCGCGTTTACCGTGCAGCAGACCCACAAGTCGCTTCCACTCAAGCAAGTCCTCCAAGGCGCTCTTCAACATCTGCACAACAAACACCCAACATCATCAACTGCATGGTACACATCGACAACTGCGCACCCGCTTCACCACCCACTTACGCACCAGACGAAGAGGAATTCCCGCCGCCGCGCTCGCAAGGACTTCAGGTCAACCCGACATACGCTGCAGTCGCTAACGCCGAACCCACCGGGCGGAACACCTGGTTCTTGGACAGTTGCTGCGGTCAGCACATGTGCTCCTCCGGACGCTTCGTACAACACGAGCGACGCCTCAACCGCGACGTCGTCATCACCGTCGCCAACAACGAAAACCTGAAAACAAACAGGCAAGGCGTGGTTCAGTTACAATCAATGGAGGACAAACGTTATTCTTCAGCTCAACAAAGTCCTCATCGTCGACAATCTGGGATACAACCTACTAAGCGTAAGCCAACTAATGGCTAAGGGGATTCACCTGGAGTGCGACTCCTTCTCCAACGAGTTCCGACTTTACCACGGGAAGGGCGGTCTCTTCATCGGTCGTGCCCTCCTGAAGTCCGGTGTCTTCGTGTTGGACTTCGTCCCCGACCGCGGAACTGCCGACAGCGATGGCATCGTATCGTTCGCCGCCTGGACTCACCCACCAGATCTTGATCCCGACTTCGACAGTGACGGCTTCTGGCACTCCAACACCATACCTGCAGCAGAGAGAACACGGGCATTAGCAGTTATCAGACAAGAAAGACAAGTACCAGCAAGCATCCCAACAAAACCATCACCTGCAGTATCGGCAGCAGGACCCAGCCGAGTACCACCACCATCAACACGAGGACCGCCAACGGAAGCAGACCAACTTATGCCCGCCACACGAGAAGCTTGTCGAAGTCCCGCCTCGGTCGTCGCGTTCTTCTCCAACGCCGACATCTACCACCGCTCGCCCGGTCACCGCGCTCCCGACGACATCTGGCACCAACGTCTCGGACATCCTGCAAACAGCACGATACTACAAACAATACAAGCAGAGGTGTTAGAACGTAACGCCCTTCTAACGACGAGCGGCCAAGAACTTCGCCGACCAAGAGCACGATGCTTCACGTGCCCCGAAGCAGATCTTCCTCATCAACCTTTCCCAGCCCATCACAATCCAAGCGCACCCACTTACGCTCCGATGGAAAAGGTCTACAGCGATATTCTAAACATGCCTCGAGACGACACCGAAGCCGACTTCAACTACGTCATCACGTTCATCGACGCCGCAACCAGATACGTCTGGCACTTCAATCTCAAAACGCGCGATCAAGCCTTCGAGGCCTTCACCACATGGCTTCCAATCGCCGAACGAGAGTCAGGAACCAAACTCAAGAGTTTCCAGTCAGACGGTGCACTGGAATACCAGTCACAACGCTTCAGGACCTATCTCGCGGAAAGGGGAATCCGACGCCTGGTGTCTCTGCCCTATGCTCACCAGCAGCAGGGGGTAGCAGAACGCATGAACCGGACCTTGCAGACGACGATGCGAAAACTGCTTCTGGGGATGAGGCTGCCCAATACACTGTGGCCAGACGCGATGACACATGCAGTCCACCTGCACAACCTGTTGTCCTCGTCATCGCTCCCCAACAACGCATCACCGCACCTGCTGTGGACGGGAAAAAGGGGCAGCACAAAATTACTTCGAGTTTTCGGCTGCATGGTACAATACAGACCCCACACAGCTCGAGCAGGACGCTTCACTCAACGAGCTCGGTGGGGACTACACCTCGGCATCGCCAAACATTTTCACGCGTGGAAGATTCTCGACATACACGACAAAAATACGGTGGCATCACGTGATGTTATCTTCTACGAGCGACTGACGCTGCAGCATTACCTGGACAACATTGCCAACTCAGACGACCCCACCGACGGCTTCGCGGGCCTTCGCTCCTTCGCTGACCATGCTGCCGAGGCTGACGCAGCAGAAGAAGACGTCCCTGGAGCCTCGGAGGCTGCCGGACCACTCCCCTACTGCTCCGTACCTGTTCCACTCGATGAAGATAATCCTCTCGATAGCAACAACCTCGACACCTTTTACCACTTCGCTGACCAAGGCTACGCTACACCACACCCCGTCGACTCGAATATTTCCGAACGCATCGGGCCAAACTTCTTACCCGATCCTGAAGACGGTGATGAAGCAGCTTATCCCGAGAATGAAAACTCCCCTCGACACACAGCCACGGGACTGCAGATCCTAGGACTATGGGTCTCCGTCCAGCACCCGCCGCCGCCTTCTCCGCGCGAGCCGTCGACCCTGTCGCAGGCTCTGGGGGGAACATAAGGCACAATGGAAGGAAGCGATGGAAAAAGAGTTAAAAGCTCTGCAAGACCGAGAAACATGGAAACTGGTACCTGCAACGAGCATCAACGGGAAAAACATTCTCTCGGGGAAATGGGTGTACCGCATCAAGACCAACTCAGACGGCTCCATCGAACGATTCAAAGCTCGATGGGTCGTACGAGGCTTCGATCAACGATACGGAACCGACTACACAGAAACCTTCGCTCCAGTCTCCCGTCACACCTCTCTGCGCATCCTACTCGCCATCGCGGCCACGAAGAAACTACCACTACGGCAAATCGACGTTGCAAACGCCTTCTTGTACGCACCTGTGGGACGCCGAAATCTTCGTCGAACAACCCCACGGATTCATCGACGACCCTTCAAAAGTATGCCAGCTGGAAAAATCCCTTTACGGGATCAAGCAAGCCCCACGGCTCTGGCAGCAGCACCTTCACGGCCGGCTCGTAAAAATCGGATTCCTACAGCTACCACATGACCAAGGCATGTACCGACTACAGAAGGGAAGAGATTACATTCTGCTCATCGTCTACGTCGACGACCTGCTCTACATCGGTTCTACCACCGACATCGTCACCTGGTTCGAAGGGGAGCTGAAAAGGGACCTGACGCTCACGGTGTCCGACGAGGTGACGCAGTACCTAGGACTGAACGTCGTCGAAGACGACACGGCGTTCTACCTACACGCTGGAAAGTACTCAAGCACCGTCGCGAAGAAAATTCGGTCTAACACCGACTGCGGTCCCAACTCCCTACCGCTACGGGAACAACAGTAGCGCCTCCACAAAACTCCCCGCGAAACAAATCCAGGAGTATCAACAGAAGCTCGGCTGTCTACTATTCGCAACAGTAACCTGCCGACCCGACCTATCCTATAGTGCGAGCCAGCTGGCGACACATCTGAAGCAGCCGCAACAGGAAGATCTCGAAGAACTCAATCGAGCGCTACTCTACTTCGTCTCCACGCCGACGATCGGCTCACCTACAGCAAGGCAACAACACCGTCCGTACAACTACTCGGATACGTCGACGCCGACCACGCGGGAGACAGCGAAAATCGACGGTCTAGGACGGGCTACATCTACCGACTAGAACCTATCGGAACTATCTCCTGGCAGTCGAGGCAAGCAGGAGTTAATCGCACTATCCTCGGCTGAAGCAGAGTATATCGCCCTTGTTGTGACTGCGACCAAGGAAGGACTCTACCCTACGAGAGTTACTCGAAAGAAGCGAAGATCGCGACCCCCTGCCCACCTTCTCACTCCTCTGCGACAACCAATCTGCGATAAAAATCGCGAACAAGGACGGCTTCGCCAACCGAACCAAGCACATCGCCCTGCGGCTACTTCTTCGTCAATGATGAAATCGCGAAGGGGAGACTTCAACTCAGTTACTGCCCGACGACAGAAATGCCGCAGATTATCTGACGAAGAAATTGGCGAAAGCAAAATTCGACTACTGCATGCTCCTAACCGGGCAAACAAACGTCACCGGATCTGAACACTCCAGCACTCCAGAAACGAAGGGGAGTGTTGGAAATATCTCAAGGACTTAAGCGTTTCTGAAGTGTAACACTGTACTCGAGGGAAGATTACAGGGAGCACGCGAGTCAACGGAGGTTACACGAGGGGCGGACAAAGAATGCGAAAGGACTCGAAAGGTCGCAACTGGAGGTGCGACTGACCGTTTACAACATCACGGATGGAAACCGAAGCGGCAATCGAGTCGCTGTGCGACTCGATAAACCGTTCCTGTAACTGTATTCTACAACTGCTTCCTTATCTTCTATATATTGCTGTATGCTTGTTTCTTTAATCAATCACTTGTTCTCACATACTAGTACAAGGGTTCAACTGCCTCAACTTCCGCTGCACTACTCCAAGTCTCAAGTCTCTACAGCTGGGACTTAGTCTCTGCAAAAGATCCTAAGGGCTTTTTTTTCAGCCCAACACGTATGATTCTTGCACCGCGAATGGCAGTGTTCTACAGACACAAGGCTAAGGATGAGTAGCAGGGAGGGATGCGTTTTACATTCAAGGATCCACCCCTGAAAGCGACTCCCGGCCCACGGGACTAGCACGGCCCCTCAGGCCTAAACCCTAATCACAACAATACTCGGAAACGCATTGGGGAAATACGTCAGCACCACCCCAGGCTGCAGTGTCTAGCACGATACAGCGAGTTCACTCGGGCTTGTAGTCCGCGAGCACGGGTGCGACTCCAGTTGGCGTCGTCGGCCGCCAGCAGGTCGATGTATTTCTGCATCGCCTCCTCCGCCGACATGCCCTTGATCGCGTTCCACGCGTCCCACTTCTGCCGCGCCTCGAATTGAATGAACAGCGGCTGCCACACGCACACACACGCGGCACACGCATCGCAAACCGGTCAAAACTCGTGCGCGGAGGTCCGTCGTAGTGGCGATGAAACGTGGGTGGGTAGTGAGGGCAGTCGCTAGGGCTGAACGCGGAGCCGATCTCATTCCGGATAGTGACGCACCCGAGAGGCCTTTGTATTTACTACGGAAGAGTGGCGGAGTGAGAAGCGTACCTGCGATCCCTTGACGTCGCCCTCAGTCGCCTGTTTGAAGTACGAGTAGTATTTGAGCTTCTCGTCCGTCGTCGCCTTGGGGTTGGGCGGGCCGTTGCGGATCAGGTACGCGGCCTTCTTGAACCTCTGCTCCAGCTCCGACATGGCGGCGGCGAGACGAAGGATCAATCGACGGCTCTCGGGCGGAAGTGCAAGGTCCGAAATCTAAGGATGCAGCCTGAATGCAAAAACTGCTGCGCTGGTGGAGGTGTAGATGAAATGGGCCTACACCGAACGGGGGAGGAAGTATTGCAATGCAATGCAATGGAGCAGCAGAGCAAGGGGATTTGCGGGGCTGCGTTTGGTGGTGGGTGGGACGTGAAGGGCGGACGGGACGGGTCACGACTCACGGGTCATGCGGCAAGGGACGGGGAGTGGGACTCACTCGCGACACACGTGTGTCGCGCCGACCTCGGGAATGTCGTCCCTCTTCGCGAGCTTTCGCCGGGGGTGGCGGTTACGGCAGCTAGCCCTGACTAAACATTCTCAAACTGGCTGTCAGCCCTATCGCGTTGCAAAATGATCAAACAGGGGTAGGACCTAACCTAACTAATCTGAGCTTCCAGTATCCAATCAGGGGCCCCTACAGTGCAAAATTAGACCCTTAAGGGGACAGGGGGCTAGGCTTGGACTGAAAGGCTTCCACAACAAGGGTATTTCACATCTAGCTGCGACTGACAACTACCATATATCATGAGATCTAAGGTAGGGCCAGCTAGCCCCCCAGCATCAACTCAATTCATCTGCGAATGTACATGCGCCTGACGGACTTGAGGAAGAATTCCCAGGACTCGTCCCCCAGCAGGATCATGTCGCCCTCCCGGTCCTGGTACACCACGGACGACCCCTCCGTCACCGACAGCAGCGCCTCGCGCAGCTCCTGCGTCGACTGGAAGCGCGACAGGTCCACCGACACCCCGAACGGCGACCCCTCCACGAAACACTTCACCCTCAGACTCTCCTCTCCCCCCCTCCTCCCCTCCCCCTCCCCCTCCCCTCCTCCCACCCCATCCCTTGCCCCCGCACCTCCTGCAATACCTACCATGCTCGCCCCTGCAGTGCCTGCCGCGTCTGCTGACCCCATGGGCCCCCTTCCCCCCCTCCC